GTGATTTTTCTTGTTAGGATTAAAAATAGGAGGGGGGATAAGTAATTTGGTCAGTCTGATATGTCTGGTAAGTAGGAGAAGAGAGTACTTCGCCCTTTTAATAAAAACAATGCTGGTCTTGTACTACCCCCATATGAACCAGCATTTTGTTTGTCATCTCTTTGTTACTTTTTTAAAAGAAGTTGTGCTGTGCTGCTCAGATTGATGGAGAAAGGAAGGATACTCTACAATGGATTTCAGTTCTCTGTATCTAGTTTGCATCAGCTTGCTGTTGTTTTTTTGTTTGTTTGTTTGTTTGTTTTTCTTTTATATCAGCACAGATAACAGAAAACATGCAAATAAAAGAATATCGTCTCCTCTGAGGATTTGTTGAGCCACTGTTAAAGCAGTTGAAAGCCCAGGTGTGTTAGAAATATAGTAGTGACCCTTGGTCACTACTTTTAATACCCACGTCCCTGGACTTTGTTGTACAGAAATGTTTTTTGTTGTGATACAAGTATTTAAATGATTCCTTTATTTTAATATCATCTTTATTGTTTGCTAGCACATATGTTTATGGAACAGATCTTTTTCTGTGAGTCTCCTTTTCGTGGTGTCTCAAAACACAGTCCTGGTGGAGATATACGATCATTATCTTCCACATCATCTTTTATTTCTTCTATTTTGTTGCTTTTGGTTTATATCTAGGGAGTTGTGTAGTACTAAACAGTTTTAGGCAGTTTGGAATCAGATTGATAATTGCTGCACGTAACTGTCACTGCATATTATTTGGGGAGGTTAGCTGGAAAGAAGGGGTTCCCTTAAAGCTTTTGGTACTATTACTAATGTTTGAGCTCTTGGCTGAATGTTAATATTGGCAAGTAGTTGTGGAAAGCTATTAAGCATTTGGCTAATATCCAAACTCCCTGCTGACTAGGTGATTCAGGCTGGAGGAGGACGCACTAAAAGTCTAACTCATCCCTGAGCATGTAAGAGTGTGTAAACAGTGAAAACCAGGACTTAGGGGGTTCTGTGTAGACAGTATTTCAAGGGAACCATGTAATTATGTAAAATGTAGAAGCAATGATTTGGAAAGTAAATTAAGTGAGACAGACTTTCTATTAGCATCATATTAGAATCCTGTGGTTTAAGTCTCTATAAAAATAGGTAGTTAAAAATCAAATAAAATGCATTGTCAGAGACTTCAGCGATGTGGGGTAATGTGAAGCCATGATATTACTGTCTGCACAGTGCAGAGATTTTAAAACTCAAAAGAACCTTTTATAGGAAAATGCATGTAGTGGGTCTGTAGTCTGTCCCCAGTGGACTGAACGAATGTGGGTGACTTTTTACCTGAGAAGTTTTTTAGGGGATGTGATCTTTGAGTTGTATTGGAGCTCTTTAGTGCTGACTACTGCAACATCTGCAACTTCCAGGCTTCTATCGAGGGTGAGGGTTGATCTCCTTAGTTGTGGGCATACTGTTCTTGTCTGGGGTGAAAAATTATTGCTTGAGAGTATTCTTCCCCCTCCCTCAAATTCAAATAGCAATATAAAATCGATTTAGCTGTCAAGATTGAGTGGGCGGGTGAGATACAGATGATTCTAAGTTCAATTAGAATGGCTCTGTTGGGTGGTTCTACGGGAAGATGAGAGAAGGGATCTCCTCTCTCCTGTTCTGTAGGCAGTAGATGATGATCTGTGTGGCAATTGTTGAGGCCCTGAGGCTGATATTGCTTCTTCATGTCTCCAGTTCCTGATGTGTTGAGACACACAGTAAATCCTCCTGAAGCAAGGAAGGCTCTGTGTATAAGCATTAAAGAGTAGAAAATGATGTAGGTGCCTTTCCCCCCCTCTTGCAGACAGCGATGGTATATGGCTTCTACTGTGTCTGAGATTTTCACAACCATAAAGGAAATCTCAAGGTTTATCCATAAGATGTATATGCTTTGAAAAAACCTACTTTCTTGTGCTTGCCTTTTTCTGAGATGTTTGCACGAAAGCCAGTCTGTGTAACTCAGGATGGAGATGGTAACAAATTGCAAATGAAAATAGAGATAAACCGTAAGAATTTCTTTAAATCAGGGTTTTCAGCTTTTGGTCTGTGAACCATCCTGAGTAGGTCATTAAGTAAGAAAACCAAGCATATTGTCAGTGTGTTTGCCCTTTCTACATAGAGGTCTCTGTTTTGATTATAATATTTCTAAGGGAAAAATAAAAACAATAATTGGAAATGGTGTGGAAGTAATAACATTTCTTTGGTGGTGTTTTGCTTCTCTGTTCCTGTTGCTTTCAGAATTTTCACAAGCTTATGAAAGCTACTATGTTAAATCGGTATTTAAATGTTATTATTAAAGAAATTCAGGGAGAAGTTAGCCTCCCTTTGGATAAGGAATGATGATTTTCTTCTTTTGTAGGGCTCAATGGTAAGCATTGGAGGGCTAAGCAAGATGAAAGTGTTCTCTGATTTGAGATGAGAACTTCCAAAACTTCACACAAGTAGAGAAAAGAAAGACCACAATGAATAAGTTCTAAAAGGCAAAACAAGTACCTAAAAATACATATCAGAGACAAGCAGAAGGCTAAGTAGGTTATTAAGTAACTCTAAGCAAGAAGCATAAATTACTTATTTATCAGACTGTGGCAATGACAAGGAAAAACACTATGGGTATGATGTAAGGATATCCTGTACCTCTGTTTTTCAGGATGGATGAATCTGCACCAAACCCCTCCACATGGACATGTATCATGTCTGCTGTAGCTCAAAATATTTTATTGTATCCAGTTTAAATTGACATGGACAGCTTCTGCTAGCAGTCTTAGTTTTTCACCAGGCAGGATAGTGTTTTTTTTTGATTTGGACTTTTTTTTCGGGGTGGAAAAGGAATGGAGAGTGGGAAGAACTGTATCAGTTTAGAAGACAATTGCTTTTGCTCAGAATCTGCCACGAGCCAGTGGAGGGAAAATGATCTTCATCTCTGATCTCGTGGGAGATTGTCTTTGCAGGAGTTACAGAACTTTTACAGGAAACTAGAAAGGTACAAGGGTGGATTTCTCGGAGGGCATAATGTGTGATGCTCCTTGCCTGGCACTTGAGAATTAGGATAAGTAGTTGCATTGCTCCAGTCACCATGATCAGATAGATTTTTGTTATTGTTGTTGATTAATACGTTGAAGCGGAGATGGCAGACAAACTGCACCAAGCTCTTTTGGTGGAACAAGCTGTGGGTCATCTCTTGAATGCTGGACAAAAGAGGGACAGGTTTGTACACTGATGTTAGAACGTTAAAATTTGAAAACGTAAATCAACAAATTACATCTGGTTCCTTTATATCTGTGGGCCTTGGGGCTGAATTCTGGAAGCTTTAGGAGGTTTTAATGGTTCAGAAAGTTGGATCAGGCTTTTGCATCTAAAAATGGGAAAGCAGTGAAAACACAAGAATGGCCACTGTTGTACAACAGTAGCTGAAACAAGCTGAAACAGCTAATTCAGATGCATGCTGGTAATTCAAATGAAACAAAAATGCTTAAGACTGTGCTGGCTCTTAAACTTGATGAAAACACAACATATACTAAGCAATTCTTAGAGCTCATGTAAGTCCTGGGATAATGAGGGGTCAGTGGAGAACTCGACATGCTTCTTGTTTGCTGACATCATTAGTGTCCGTGGTGTTTTATACTCATATTGTTGGTGAGGATTTAATAGACTAGAGCTTCTTAATAAATATGACAGTTAATTTTCTTACTGCCTGCCCCTGCATCAACACTTCTCACAGCAGATGTAGAACAGATGTTTTAAAACACTGGGAATAATGTATCTATCATAATGAGAATGCCTTGAGGGAATGGTTAAAAATTACTGGATTTGACTGAATTCCAACTTTTGTTCTTTCTGTAGACACCTTTGAAATAAATGGTGCTAGATCTGGTTGATGACCACCAATTTAATACCACAAATTTATTGAAATGGTTGTATTTATAAAAAAAAAATAATCAAGAGGCCTGCCTAATCCCAAAGTCCTATTGTATGCTTAATTTTATGCTTTGAAAAGTTAATAAACTTACTCAAAACTTGCTAAATGTATAATAATATATTATGTATAATAATATAATATTGAAGAATTTTAAAATTGGTCCACAGCATTGGTCCACATCTATGTGTTGTTTGGTTAAATAAATTACAAGGCTAGTTCTATCAAGGTAATGGAAAAAAAAAAGAAAGCAAATTGTATTTCACAAGCACTCCTTTTCTAAATGAAAACCTAGGTTATTGTCATGGAAGCTTTTCCTGAGAAACTTATTAACAACAAATACTGGCATGTTAGTACTTCATTAAACAAATGATACTGTGTCATAATACATTCTAATTGTTTGTAAGGAAATATTCTCTCAAATTAGTGTAGTTTTAGTGTTAATTTTTCTTACTAAGATATGTTTTTACTGGTTACAGCTGAACTATTAGAAACAGTTTACTTCATCTTTTTTCCTATCCTAAAGCCTCTTTGTTAATCCAAACAGAAATTAAAATCTCTGCTTATTTCCTTGTTCTGTCTAATATTATCAGAGAATGCACAAAACTGCTGAATTTCTGCTTTTATGCTGTCTTTTGAAAATGTAATATCTTAATTCTTTGGGTAGTTCTTTATGTCAACAGTAGCTATCTTTTTTCCTTCGTATAAACTTCACATGGTCAGTCATTTAAGTCCATTAATATATCAGCTAAGGCGTGTTTTTGGGCCCATGTTGTTCATGGCAACATAAAGTAACTCAAAATTTTGTTAAACTAACTCAAAATTTTCTAGCAAGAAAGAAACGAAGAGTTTTCTTCCGATTGAAATTAGTTTGAAAATGCATTTTTAACTAGTCACCCTAAATACTAAAGGTATAGTAGATTTTATTTTTGAAGTTATTACTCTAGGGAGTGAGTTACCTTATTGTATGACATGTGGCGATTACTTGCAAACTTATTTTCCGAGATGAAAGCTTAATTTTATAATTTTTTTTTTTTTTTTAAATCCCCAGGTCTGTCTTTGGAGGACAAAGAGATTTTTGCCTACTGGAAGAATGCAGTGAAACTGCCAATATTTCTAGCTGGAATTGTAAGTTTAATATTCAACTTTAGTGTTACTAATTTCTTACTAAACAGTACCTCAAAGTAGAAGAAAAATGTATGGAAGTGCAAGAACAATCAGCAACTTGGAAGGAAGTCCCTCCAGGTCTCCCCGTTTGCCCAGGTCCCCCCGCCTGGGTCACAGGAGAACAAGCAGCGGGGGAGGAGGAGGAACAGGGAAGACGTTGTCGATGGAGAACATCCAGTCCCTTAATGCAGCCTATGCAACATCTGGACCAATGTACCTGAGTGACCATGAAGGTGTAGCTTCTACTACTTTCCCAAAGGGCACAATGACTCTTGGAAGGGCTACAAATCGAGCTGTGTACGGGGGTCGAGTCACAGCGATGGGGAGCAGCCCCAATATTGCGTCGGCTGGACTTTCGCACACGGACGTCCTTTCGTACACGGATCAGCACGGGGGTCTGACCACATCTTCACACCACCACCACCATCAGGTTCCTTCTATGCTGAGACAGGTTAGAGATAGTACCCTGTTAGACCTGCAGGCTCAGCTTAAGGATCTGCAGAGGGAGAATGATCTTCTCAGAAAAGAACTGGACATTAAGGACAGCAAGCTGGGGTCCTCTATGAATAGCATCAAAACTTTCTGGAGTCCTGAGCTGAAGAAAGAAAGAGTGTTGAGGAAAGAAGAAGCAGCCAGAATGTCAGTTCTTAAAGAACAAATGAGAGTTTCCCATGAAGAAAATCAGGTAAGTAATTAGGAAGGTTTCTTTCTGTTGGTTTACAACTAAGCACTTGATGTTTTGCTTATGGTTCTTTATCCTGTGCTGGAACAAGTTTGACGTTTGCCATAAAAATTATATGTCTTGATCTGTCTGCTTCTAGCTGCTAAACAGTAGGAAAGCACACTGATAAGAATCCAAATGCAGGTTATAATTTCCCCATGCAGCATTCTTTTACATTTTAGCTGAAGAGAATGACCTTTCTCTTATTTTTGACACTTTCTCTGTGCTTTTTTTTCTTTTTTTTGCAACAACAGCCTAAATATACTTGTCAACCTTTTTCTGAAGAGGTAAATGAGCCACCTTTGCAAAAGTATAAATAAACATCTAGAGGCGTATTTTGTATGAGCTGCACAGGGATTTAACAGTTTTAAAGTTAAAAGAAGGTAAATACCCATATGCAACTTTCTGTATTTCTGCATTACAGAATGAAGTTGAAGATGTGTTTTCAGTAACATTTCAGAGACCTGTGTCTTATTTACAAGATGCTCCTTTTCTATGTATTTAAATTATTTCTGTTCACAACATAACATTATTTTTCTGAAGTTTTTAATCTGGATGGATCAATCTATAAGGCTAAGCTTTGAGAATCTGTGCTATATCACAAAGCAATACAAACCAGTGGCACATAATAGATAAAAAAAATTCTCATATTCCTGTCTCCACACACTTTTTGGCTGCTGGTCTTATTTTAAAGCTGCTCCTTTTGAGACCATCTGTTAACTTTCTCCAGACAAAAACACAATCCTGTGTTTCTCTCACTTCCAGATTCCAAATCTAAACTTCTTTGCTGGCAGGCAGCAACAAGTGAAATTTTGAATTTACTTCCAAGTTTGTGATCATTAGTGCTTCTCAGCAAACTTTCCACCTTTTAGGCATGTCATGAACCCAAATCTCGACAGAACTAACAACTGTTATCAGTTACATCAGTGGGAGACTGGGTCACAGTCAGAATTCAGTACAGTGAATTAACTTATTACTTTCTTCTATAACTTCTGTATCTGGACTGACAGTAATAGTTACTGAGTATTTATTTATAGTAAGTGCACAAGGATGCTGCTAGAACCAAGATTATCAAAAAGGTGTTTGATGGAGATTCTGCTATTCAAAAGCATTATTGGCTAGATATTATAATTGTGATAGTGTCACCTCAGTAGGAGGAATATTCTAATACACTCTGTTCTGGTAGCCTTTCTTATGGAAATGTCACATTAATATCTTATATTGGCATTTGGATTCTGAAGCTGGTATTTAGAGATTTTGTCATCTGCCAAAGTGGTTATGCCTTTTTTCTTTTTTTCCTAAAAGCTGTTTTTTCCTCATCTTGAGGGGGAAGTAAATTAGTAAGTCTGTTAGGAGTTCTCCTATTCATTAATTCATTTATCAGAAGATTATATCTTACTGACAAATACTCTTATTTTCTTGTAACTGCAAACCTGACAAAAAGAATGTATTTTACCCTATGTGTATATTTAATATGCATCCTTATAGCCCGGTATTCCATTGCTAACAATGTCCCAAAGTTCACAGAATAGACCTAGTATGCAGTGATATCCCCACTAGTACTTTTTATGATCCAACAAGAGTTTTTGTGCTTAATGACTCTCAATGGACTTTGAATTAAGCCAGGTACTTTTAGACCTATTTAAAGTGCCAGTGTCCACAGTCTCGTAGAGCAGTGAATCCCACAGCTTAACATATCTGTGAAGTTGTGTCTGAAACTGAAACTTTTCATTTGGTTTTGCACTAGATTTTAGCTGCTTTTGCTACGATTTGCTTTTCCTTGTACAGGAGGAAGAATTAAATAATTGATGTCTTGTGCCAGTCTCAGTGCCACTTAATGATTTCACAGGGAACCATCATCACATCCCTCCCTCATCTCTTTTCCAGATGGGGGAATCTTAGCATGTGTGATAGTTCCTTTTGTGAAACGGTGACATTGTTTTTCAGACCTATTATGTGAGGCTTTTTTGAGGTGAGGAGACCAGAATAGCTTATGTTTTTGATAATACAGGTGTAAGATGAGTTATGTTTTGATGTTGTAGCATTTGCCCTTTTATTCTGTATGTTTCTCTCAAAAATTCACAACACTTAAAGTGTCATTTCTAGTTTTGAGGACTTATTTATTTATTTATTTACTCCTACTGAGTACTGAGCTAGTATTTTAAAGGAAATATTTAGTATAGCTGAAGAATCTCACCACTGGTTGTCATCAGTTTAGATCCCAGCTTGTTATGCATAAAGGTAGGATTATTTTCACTTGTGTTTAACTTTTATCTCCCTGAATTTCATCTGCCAACCTTTGACTATTTGCTCAGCCTTATAAAATCCTTCTTTGCATTTGGCTTTTTTCTCTCCTGCCCTGAATAACCTAATGTCATGAGGAAAATTAGTCATCTTAGTGTTCACCCTGTTCTTTGGGTTACTCAGAATGTGTCAGTCAGCACAAAGCCCAGCCACAGGTTCCAGCAAAACTCCACAGGGACCTTCTCTTGGTTTTATGAGTTGACTGTGTGTTTCTGCTATTTCCTCTCTTATAATAAAATATTTATGTTTAAAAGGACCTATCCTCTTATCTAATTGCTGCTTACTTTTCTTGTAAGCATTTGGAGAGGAGCCTTTCTGAAGGGATGGCTTAGGAAGCCCAAGAGGGCTGTGTCAGCTGCTTTGTTAGTCTTACTTATCCACATGGCTATCAATTCTTTCAAACAACTAATTTAATATTTAAATTATCAAAAAACTATAATTTTAAACACAAAAAAAGGGAAGTGATGTACTCTGTCACACATATACTGAAAGTGATTGATTTGTCTTGTGGGTCTGAGGGTTACTGGCTTATAAAACTTCCTTAAGAATGGAGGTTTTTCCCTGAAAACTGAAACACTAAAAACTATTTTCACATTGGCTATGCTTGATGGAATTGACACTGATTGGGGCCTTTAGTCTCATAGCAAACTTTGAGAACTTCCAGGAGATTGAAGAAGGGCAAATCTATCTGCCTGCCAAAAAAAAAGTTCAGTGAGAGGATAATAAGTGAATTATAAATTTGATATTTTTATTGTGGTTTCTGTAAAAATCTTGTGAAACCCAAAGAAAACTGTTCGTAAACTGTATTAATTATTTGTATTGTTTTAAAAAAATCATTAGCTATTTCCGAATATAGGGGAAAAATTAAAAAAAAGACTAACACTCAATATGGATTTGTCAAAAGTAATGTCAAACAAGACTGTTTTTCTTGCATGACAGAAAAACACACCTTATGCATAAGGGAAAAAACAATAGTAACATACTGATGTTAGAAAAACTTTTTCTGTTGTTTCAGGAGATATTCATTAGTGAGCTATTATAATTGCTATTACAGGGAGACCTATGTGATTGGAAGCTTGTGTCAAAGTGTAATTATCAATGATTCATGGTGAAATTGGAAGGATGCCTGGCAGGATCTGGTAGGGATCTGTCATGTGCTCTGAATGATGGATGTGTATTATGCATCCAGGTAATGTCAAGCTGGGAAGGCTTAAAAACATGCTGGAAAACTTAGTTGTCTCTCTGTTCTTCTTATTCTTTGTGACCTATTTTCTCACAGCACAATTAGTATTATTCTATGTATGGATTGATAGACATAGGGGCAGGAAGTACCTTACATGTTTTCCAGTATTTAAAGTGATTCTTCGTCTTGGAATCATCCATTTGCAGTGTCTCAGTCAGAGCTTTTGCATGTTTTTTCCCCCCAGGTAGATAGTTATTCTCTCTAATGTGGCTTGAATGTATCGTATAGAAGAGTTAGTGTAGAAAGTTTCAATGGGGAGCAGAAGGCTCTGAGGTGGGAAGCGCTGGGAGGTCACGTTGTTCAGCAGGATTATTTTCCAGGATTGTTGCCTGTCTGTCAAAAAAGGAGGGAGAACTAATTTATGGGTTTGGATGAGCTGGATCGAAGACAACATATTCACATTTAGTGGTTGATATGCTGCTGTTTTGACATTGCAGAAACTGAATTAGATTTACTCTGGTATTTTTAAAAAAAAACACACTAAACTTGGTTGCACAAAATAAAGCCCTTTTTACCTCCTTAAAGATGTCATCATTTAATACTACATAATTAATACAAAATGGACCACTGCATGCAATGAATAGTGGCTCTTTTTCATTCTTGATATGGTTATATATTGGAAATAAGTGGTGAGCTTGATGCCTTTTTTTTTTCCCTTACAGAAAACCAGGTAATTTTAATGAAATTAATGTGTTCTTTGAAAACATATTATAAATTTTGATCTTCTTTTAAAGTTTAGTTCCTGTCCTGATATTGCAGGAATTTACTTCCCATTAATGAGATGAAGAGGAAGGATAAAAAGGATAGTGAGCAGTTCCTCTGAGAATTTTGAATACAAAATCGTTTCTTGAAATAATTTTTATCTATCTGTAGGATATGAATAGTTCAGATGCTGCAATTAACAGAATAGAGCTGATAAAATAATCAGTAGATAAGGGAATGTGTATTCATGAATCCAGAACTGTGAGTAGCTGCTCGATGTTATTTCACGTGCTCTTCATTTTCACTTTGATTAATAATAAGTATCTAAATAAAATAGTAAAAGAAAGTGTGCTAAGAAATATTCTGAAATGATGTTTCCCTTCTTTGTACTAATTAAACTGTTTTCCTAGTAAAACCTTGATTATGCTAAAGTATACATGATTAAAAAACCCCAGAATCTTATTTTGAGATAGTTTTGTTTATGCCCATTGAAATTCCTAAGGTTTCATCCTAGTGGAATGTGCAGGGAGTTGCCAACAATTGGGTATTTAGTCTGAGTTCTCAGATAGGTGTTTTCTTCCTTAATATCTGTCAAAGTGTGCACTTGATTACCAGTTGGAAAGGTGGCCTCCCATTGTTCCTAAATACCAGATATGGTCAGAGGAGTTTTTTGGGTATAAATACCTCTCAACCTGTCTCATTGTGCAAGGGTGTG